GTAAGTGGAAGGGACGTTCAAACTCCCTGCAGTTGAGTATAACTCTTGCTGTTGTTGTGGAGCCGCTCTTGCCGCGCCGGTTGGCAGAGACGTGCTGCCAGAGACACGCATTCTGAACGACAAAATACGAGCTTGAGCCGCGTGTTTTCCTGTTATTTTGTGGAGTGCAAATTATGCCTAAAAGTTCTGACATTCACCTCAAAGAAGGCCATAAACATCATAATCTGAACAACTCAAACTGAGGTTTTGTGTTCTAATGAGCGCATCACAAAGCACTTGTGTAGGGGACTCACTCAAAAGTCCTTTAAAAAATGAATACTTTTTGAATAAATGAGGTTTGGTTAAAGGATCATATATCACATTCATTTCAGACTTTCCTTTCAAGGCAATCAGATCAGTAAGGCTGACATACGGTATACTGTGCATATACACTAATGTAGAGCTCCTCCCAAAACAATTTTATTCAAATCTATGGTGGAAAGAGGCAGGAAAGGACAATGTACTGCTAGAACATACCACCATAGAGGGCCCTGTGATGGATCTGAAGCATGGGGAGAGGCAATAGGACAAGCAGCCCATGTGGCTGCTATGGAGTCCGCGAGGGTAGGGAGGCTTGACAGGCTTGGAGGTCTGAGGGTAGGGAGACTTGTCAGGCTTGGGGTCCAAGGGTTGGGAGACCTGGTAGGGCCTAGAAGGTAGAGAAGCCTGACAGGGTTGGAGCACTCGAGGGTAGGGAGGCCTGACAATCGTAGGGTCCAAAGGTAGGGAGGCCTGGCAGACTTGGTGGTCTAAGGGGTTGGGAAAGTCCTGCGAAGGCTTGGCAACTGAGGATTGGGAGGTGCAAGGATTCAACCTATGTCTGTAGCCCCCTTGTCCTCGTTTATTTTCAACTACCAGGCTGGGAGAGAATAAAGCTCCGACATTCCTAGTTGTGCAAGTCCTAAATTCGTGAAAGTTTAATGAAGACATAGAGGACGGCCTGTATACATGGAACTCCAGGATTAGGCGTTGTTTAATTCTGCGATGACAATGCAGACATTGGAATTCTGAGATCCTGAATTAGTCGTTGAGTTCAACTGGATGAACCAAGTCATACATTCCATCTTATCAATGTAGTTACATGAACAGAAACTGCAATAGTTGAAGGGATAACCATATAAGGAAGTTCCCTGGTTTAGAGAAATGACGAACTATGTATTAAGGAAACAAGAGAGTAAGCTTACAAAAACTAAAACTAACTGTTCACACATCTAGAAATGGAGGTATTTTACAAAATGGATTCCAGGTTAATCAGAACAACTATTTCCTTACAAGGACGCTGTTCTGCAAGATAAAGGTTGGATGGCCAACAATTGGAAGGCGGGCAGCTGGTTCTGAAGGCAAGGGGGGAGGACTCCTTTGAAGGCTTGGAATTCAAGGAGTAGCGGAATAGTGGCAGGTTGGAATGCCTGTGGAGGATAGGGAGTCCTGACAGGCATGGAACGGCTGTAGGTGAGGATAGGGTAGGCTTCTGGCAATCAGGTGGTTTTCCAGGGAGCTCCTGAAGGCTGCAGAATTGGACATCCTTTTAGATTGATGTCTTGATGGATTAAGGGCTGGGAGTTCCAGACGAGGCTTGAGGACCTGCCAGAAGTCCTGCAGGCTGCTTGGAATTGGGGAGGAGGGGAGCCTGGAAAGGCATGTGATACAGAGCAGGGAGGTCCTGGAGCTTTGGAGCGAAGGGTACGGCCTAGGGAGGTACTGGGTGGAATCCCTGGATCGATGATGTGAGTTACTTGTGTTACATTAAAGATGCAGCTATCTGAATGGCATCTTAGGTAGGTCGGGGCAGTTAGTAGTTTGAATTTGTATTATTGAGGTCTGACATGGCTTGGGGTCCTACGGTGGGGAAGCCTGGAAGGCATGTGATACCAAGCAGGGAGGCCTGGCAGCGCTTGGGGTTACAAGGGTAGGGCCTATGGCCTATGGATGGAATTATTAATTGGTTTGTTATGTGTTTTCCTGTGCTCATACATTAATGCTGAGCTACTCTAAAAACATCTACAGTAAGTCAAGTGTATAATAGGAAATATAGAAAATAAAGGCAGGATTCAATGTCCTGTTAGAATTTCTGCTATATAATGCTCTGTATTTGGACCTGAAGCATGGGAGTGACAGTAGGCAAGAAACCTATGAGGCTGCCATGGGTTCAAGGGTATGGAGGTCTGACAAGCTTTACATCTGAGGGTCAGCAGACCTGTCAGGCGTGGGGTCTAAGGGTAGGGAGGCCTAGCAGGCTTGGTGTCTGAGGGCTGGGAGGCCTGGCAGGCATCATGTCCAAGGGTAGGGACGCAAGGCAAGGCTTGAGGTCCAAAGGTAAGAAGGCCTGGCAAGCTTGAGGTCCTAAGGCAGGGAGAGATCTGGCTGGCTTGGGATCCAACAGTAGTGAGGCCTGGCAGGCTTGGGGTCCAAGGGTAGGTAGGCTTGTTTGGCTTGGGGTCTGAGAGTAGGGAGGCCTGGAAGACTTGGGATGGATATAAGCTAGAAACTTTGGTGGTACTACAGTATGTCACTAACCTGCATAGCTGAAAAAGACAGTTTCCTCTCCCAGCTGGGTGGGGCAGTGCCCATATATAAGCCAGTTGGGAGTAGCCCTAACACACTTGGGACATGGGGCCAAACATCTCACACCAGCTCAGATGTAACTAGCATATGGAAGCCCTGACTGGGCAGGAGGCCACAAGGAATAGACCTCTACCCAGGAGAACCGACTGTTAGACTTCCTGACCCTTATGAAGGTAAAGGCTAGAGTGGTTGTGAAAGGCCTTATAGGCCAGGGCAAGAGTTCCCTGAATGAGGCTATTCCTTTGTTGGGTCTTGGGGAAAAACGTATCTATGGAATAGATGCCTACAGAGAACACAGTACTGTGAGTACTAATGACTCCATGTGGAAAAAATGAGACTGTTTAGAAGGAGATGGCTATTTAAAGTGCTGCCAATGCTTTCACATGTGATTGCTGTTTTATGACTGTCCACTAAATGTGTTTGACTATGTACTGTCCAAGTTACATCAGAATGTATGCTGATGTGATGTGACTGTTATGCCATGTCCTAAGTAAAGCCGTCATTAAAGTGCAACAACCTTATTCATGTGGTAGGACATCGTTCTTCCTATGGTGATATAAAAGGTCATGGGATCGGTTACTGTCGTGTTGGAGGCCTCAGTCATGGAGATAATGGGCAACATAGGGCTGAAGGTGTTTGACCTTAGCAGGCGAGGATAGTGTTCTAGCAAAGCCGGTATAGGAGCAGAAGCAGGGACTGGTGCTCTAGGCACCATCACTAGCAATGGGAAAGCCCCTACTTACAGGCTGCTGTGACGAGTTTCCTGCTTGCTACTCCCTTATCCAGTCTCTGGTACGATAGGAGACTACACATCGCTGACCAGTCCATAGAAGTCCTCTTTTCCTACAAGTCCTGCAATGAACTACACGGCTCAAAAAAATTCAAGGCTGACTTTTTATGCAGATTCCTATCATACAAATCAATGAACACCTGAACATTGATCAGGTCAGCTAAGTAGCAGCAGGGCATTAGGTGTATTTAGGCTTTTTGGCTGCCCAAGTAACACAAATATCTGTAGATAGACCTTTTCAATATAACATAGATCTTTTTTATTTCTAATTTGTACTTTTTTATGTCATCTCTTGTCTGGGGGGGGGGGGGGGGTGAGGTGGGCGGGGGAGGGGGGTTTGGGTGGGGGGGGGGGTGGGTGGGGGAGGGGGGGGGGGGGGGGTGGCTGGGGTGTGGAGGGGGGTGTTTGGGCAGTAATTTTTATGGGTTTGTGGTGGGGGTGGTTGCGGTAGGAGGAGGCGTGGGTGGGTGGGGAGTGCGGTAACAGGGAACAGATGGTGGGTTGTGGGGGGAGGGGATAGGGGGTGCTGTGGTGGTGCGTGGGGTGGGGGTTAGTGGATGCAGCGGTGTGGGGGAGTAGTGTGTGCATGGGGCCCTTGAGACATCCCCCGCGCACCCTCGGCCACCCGCCGCCCGCCCCCTTAAACACCCGCACCGCGCCTGCGCCGTGAACGCCCGATGGTTATCTAGGTCCCCTCAGGCCGTCCGCCCCCCCCCCCCACCCCCCCCCCCCCTCCGGCCCCCGGCCAGTGGATGTTGGAGTGTGCATCTGTGGTGCCACACACGTCACGGAGCACCCCATAATGCCAACTCGGGCATTGATCCCGACCACCCCCGCGTCGCCCGTCACCCACACCAAGGCCTAAGGAAGCCAAGGCCGGGGAGCAGGAGCAAACGCACGGAACCGGCCGCCCTCCCCTGGCCCCCCCCCGGCCTGAGAGGGGGGAGCCAACATCCCACCGCCCTCCTCCCCCCCACCCCCCCGCTCCCGCCCCCTACTCCCCCCCCCCCCCGCCCGGCCCCGACCCCCGCCCCCGCTCGCCCCCCCCCCCTCCCCCTCCCCTCCCCTCCCCCCCCCCCTCCCCCCCCCCCCCGCCACGCCCCCCCCACCCCCTTCCCCATCCCCCCCCGCCCCCCCCCCCCCCCCAGCCCGCCCGTCCCCCCCCCACCCCCGCGCCGCACCCCCCCCCGCCCCCCCACCGCCCCCCACGCAACCCCCGTCGCACCCCCCCCCGTCCCCCTCCCCGCTCCCTCCCTCCGCGGGCCCCCCCCCCTCCCCTCCCAGGATGAGAGTCAGGCTCTGTGTAGTACGGGGTTTGGCCTTATTACTTAGAAGTTCCTATGTGTAATCGTTCAGATATCCTGATATCATACAATGATGTCAGACAAACTCGGAAGTATAATAATCAAAGAATTTACTTAGCTTGGTTTAATAACCTCCTTCAACTCCGGACACCTTCCCCCCCCCCCTTCCAGACCGGACACTTCCCCCCCTTCCAGGTCCGGACACTTCCCCCCCTTCCATTCTGGACACTTCACACCCTCTTCCAGTCCGGACACTCCACCCCCCTTCCAGTCCGGACACTTCCCTTCCCCCCCCTTCCAGTCCGGACAATTCCCCCCCCCTTCCAGTCCGGACACTTTCCCCCTCTTCCAGAACGGACACTTCCCCCCTTCCAGTCTGGACACTCCCCCCCCCTTCCAGTCCAGACACTTTCCCCCCCCTCCCAGTCCAGACACTTCCCCCCCTTCCAGTCCAGACACTTCCTCCCCTTCCAGTCCAGACACTTCCCCCCCCTTTCCAGTCACCCAGACACTTTCCCCCCCTTCCAGTCCGGACACTTTCCCTCCTTCCAGTCTGGATACTTTCCCCCCCTTCCAGTCTGGACACTTCCCCCCCTTCCAGTCCGGACACTTTTTCCCCCCATCCAGTCCGGACACTTTCCCTCCTTCCAGTCATGACACTTTCACCCCCTTCCAGTCCGGACACTTCCTCCCCCCCCCTTCCAGTCCGGACATTTTCCCCCCTTCCAGTCCGGACACTTTCCCCCTTTCCAGTCCGGACACTTTCCCCCCCTTCCAGTCCAGACACTTTCCCCCCTTCCAGTCCAGACACTTTCCCCTCTTCCAGTCTGGACACTTTCCCCCCCTTCCAGTCCGGACACTTTCCCTCCTTCCAGTCTGGATACTTTCCCCCCCCTTCCAGTCTGGGACACTTCCCCCCTTCCAGTCCGGACACTTTCCCCCCATCCAGTCCGGACACTTTCCCTCCTTTCCAGTCATGACACTTTCAACCCCCTTCCAGTCCGGACACTTTTCCCCCCTTCCAGTCCGGACACTTTCCCCCCTTCCAGTCCAGACACTTTCCCCCCTTCCAGTCCAGACACTTTCCCCCCTTCCAGTCCGGACACTTTCCCCCCTTCCAGTCCGGACACTTTCACCCCCTTCCAGTCCGGACACTTTCACCCCCCTTCCAGTCCGGGCACTTTCCCCCCTTCCAGTCCACTTTCACCCCCTTCCAGTCTGGGCACTTTCACCCCCTTCCAGTCTGGGCACTTTTCACCCCCTTCCAGTCTGGGCACTTTCACCCCCTTCCAGTCCGGGCACTTTCACCCCCTTCCAGTCCGGACACTTTCCCCCCTTCCAGTCCGGACACATCCCCCCCTTCCAGTCCGGACCACTTTCCCCCCCTTCCAGTCCGGACACTTTCCCCCCCTTCCAGTCCGGACACTTTCCTCCCCTTCCAGTCCGGACACTTTCCCCCCCTTCCAGTCCGGACACTTTCCCCCCCTTCCAGTCCGGACACTTTCCTCCCCTTCCAGTCCGGACACTTTCACCCCCTTCCAGTCCGGACACTTTCCCCTCCCCTTCCAGTCCGGACACTTTCACCCCCTTCCAGTCCGGACACTTTCCTCCCCTTCCAGTCGGACACTTTCACCCCCTTCCAGAACAGGCAAACATTCAGCGCTATCACACTTTGAATGACAATTGCGCGGTCATGCAACACTGTACCCATAGCATTTTTTTGAGACAGATAAAACTTTATTTTGGTGGTATTTATTCACCGCTGGGATTTTTTTTTTTTTTTGCTATATAAATGAAAATGTCCAAAAATTTTGAAAAAAAGTGTTTTTCTTATAAAAGTTTGCAATCTTTCTTCATAAATCTTGGCCAAAATGTATTCAGTTATCTTTTTAGCAAAAAAAAGCCCAAATTAGTTTATAACCAAAAATTATAATTTTTAAAAAAATGTTTTTACATTATTTTTTTTTTTTTTTATTATTTGTTTTTTTTTTTTTTTTTTTTTTTAACATACTCTCACCCTAGCAGTAGAGACACTGTACTACTTGTGGGGATGATAAAGTTTTTTTTTTTTTTTTTTAAAACACTGATTGCTTTTATACCCATAAAGGTTGTAAACGCAATCATTTCTCCTTCTCTCTGACTGCATTTTTGCAGCCATTGAGAAATACTGAGTGAGCTGTGATTGGTCACAGCTTGTCACATGGTACAAGGCTGTTGTGAATAGCCCTGTACCATGTGACTTCTGTGATCATTCACAGGTTTCACACGTAGTAAGCAATGATGTCAGGAAGTGACATCTTGCTTACTACTCTGCATGTGATCACTGATTGGGCAATCAGTGATCACATAAATAAATATAGGAGTGCGGCGCTAATGAATAAATGTCTCAGATTAACTAAAAACAATATGATGTATAAGCAAAAAAATATAATATCCAAATAAATATCCAAGTAATAGAATAAAATGAACGCAGGATCTTGCATAAAAGATGAAAAAGATGAAAAACCAGGATCCAACGGTAAAAATGCGCACTCACCGGACGCGCTATGGAAAAGCGCATATGTAGTATAACCTTTAGGAAACCTTCATCATCTGGAGACGGTGGGTAGCCATCCAGGGACAAATGATCTCTATATAATGGACAATTTCCATATCCAGGAATCCCTTTAGAAGTTGTAAGTAAGGAACTCCCTCCGGTGGTGAAGATAAGTAATTCCTAAAAAATGTTAGCTCCAAATGGGAGCCAAAAAAATCTCTCATAGTGTAGTAAGTAAAATGTATTTATTCAAAAATAAGTATCATAAAAGCAAGGCAGAAACACTGTGACAGTCAAACATGAAAAAACTGAAGTGTAACTGACCACAAGTAAAATGGCCGCCGGGCCTCCTCGTGGCTCCAGGCGGCTAGATATCACGCTCTGCTGGCTCCTCCTTAGGAGGAGCCAGCAGAGCGTGATATCTAGCCGCCTGGAGCCACGAGGAGGCCCGGCGGCCATTTTACTTGTGGTCAGTTACACTTCAGTTTTTTCATGTTTGACTGTCACAGTGTTTCTGCCTTGCTTTTATGATACTTATTTTTGAATAAATACATTTTACTTACTACACTATGAGAGATTTTTTGGCTCCCATTTGGAGCTAACATTTTTTAGGAATTACTTATCTTCACCACCGGAGGGAGTTCCTTACTTACAACTTCTAAAGGGATTCCTGGATTGGAAATTGTCCATTATATAGAGATCATTTGTCCCTGGATGGCTACCCACCGTCTCCAGATGATGAAGGTTTCCTAAAGGTTATACTACATATGCGCTTTTCCATAGCGCGTCCGGTGAGTGCGCATTTTTACCGTTGGATCCTGGTTTTTCATCTTTTTCATCTTTTTATGCAAGATCCTGCGTTCATTTTATTCTATTACTTGGATATTTATTTGGATATTATATTTTTTTGCTTATACATCATATTGTGTTTTAGTTAATCTGAGACATTTATTCATTAGCGCCGCACTCCTATATTTATTTGTGTATTATGAGGGTTTTAACTGTGATTACCTTTGAGTGTATTGGCAGCTGCTGAGAGAGCGCTCACTTTTCATATTTCTCTTTTTTAATCAGTGATCACATGACTGGACCTCACACAGAGGTCCCATACAACGATCGGTGCACAGGCTAAAAAGGTGGGCGCCGTTTATGAATGGCATCCCTCCCCTGCACCGCTCGCCGTTTATATACATGGGGCCGGACAGGAAGTGATTAAAGAGGCATTACAGATGATACAATAGATAAATACAGCATCGTTCCAGACCAGGGGGAGTTTCAGCCCTTCCTCGAGTTCCTGGTGAACTACAGCCCGCCACCCATACTTAACCACTTGCCTACCAGGCACTTATACCCCCTTATTTACCAGGCCAATTTTCAGCTTTCAGCGCTGCCGCACTTTGATTGACAATTGCGCGGTCATGCAACATTGTACCCATATGAAATTTTGATCATTTTTTTCTCACAAATAGAGCTTTCTTTTGGTGATATTTAATCGCAACTGGGCGCTTTACTTTTTGCTCTATAAATTAAAAAAGTGCAAAAAATTTGAAAAAAAAAAGTTTCTTATTTTCTATTATAAAATTTTTCAAACAGGTATTTTTTCTCCTTCACTGATGTGCGTTGATGAGGCAGCACTGATGGGCACTGATAGGCGGCACTGATGGGCACTGATAGGCGGCACTGATGGGCACTGATAGGCGGCACTGATGGGCACTGATAGGCGGCACTGATGGGCACTGATAGGCAGCACTAAAGGGCACTGATAGGCAGTACTAATGAGGTGGCACGGATAGGCGGCACTAATATGCAGCACTGATAGGCGGCACTGATAGGTGACACTGATGATGGGTACTGATAGACGGGCACTGACTGGCATCACTGCTGGGCATTGACTGGCGGCACTGGCTGGCACAACCCCTGGGCACTGACTGGTGTGGCACTGACTGGCAGCACTGCTGGGCTGCACTGGTGGGTGGCACTGGTGGGCAGCACTGGTGGGTGGGCACAGGTGGGTGGCACTGCTGGCACAGGTAGGTGGCACTTCTGGGCACAGGTGTGTGACACTGCAGAGTGGCACAGGTGGGTGCACTGCTGGGCACAGGTGGGCGGAGCTAGTGGGCGCACTGCTGGGCACAGGTGGGCGGAACTTGCGGGTGGCATTGCTGGGCACCGATCATCAGGGCACTGATCATCAGTGCCCTGATGATCGGTTTTTGCCGATCCCCGCTCTGACAACTGCCGGTTCTCGGCAGTACTTTCCTCACGATCTGACAGCGTGAGGAAAGTGCAGCCGAGAACCGGCACTTGCATTTCCCTCTGATCAGGTGTCATTGGACACCGCTGATCACGTGGTAAAAGGCCGGTATGATTGGCCTTTTACCTACGGACACAGCTGATCACGGAGATCGCCGGGTGCGCGCCCCCCTGGGGCGCGCAGGAGAGTGCGTTCTGGGAGGACGTCATATGACGTCCACTCAGAACTGGCCTGCCGCAGTTTAGCCGTCATTCGGCTATCTGCGGTCGGCAACTAGTTAAATGTAAGCTCGAAAGAGCAGGGCCCTCGATCCCCTCATGTTTTGCATTGTATTGGTATTGTTCTGTCACATGTTCTGTCCCCTCTGTAATGTACAGCGCTGAGCCAACTATTGGCGCTTTTATAAATACTGTATAATAATAATAATAATAATAATAATAATAATGAGTCAAACTCCACTAACTCTTTGTATTACAAGCATTTATATAGTGGTTCCAAAAACTAGTCAAAACTGGTTTGAGCCTCACCACAGAATACAAAGGTCAAAGGTACCCAACTTCCCACAGCATGTCCTGGTATACGAGGCCATATGATATATACAGATATTGATGATTACTTTTACAATAACATAATTGATAACACAAAACTACTACTAAGTTTCCTGTTAATCAATAACTGTTCAAAACCCACACAACACTCTGCATACACAGTCGTCGAGCAGCCCGCAGCCTCTCACAGATCCCACCTGGTCCCCATGCTGAGTGTGTCCCTTCTTCTGCCCCCACTCCCTTCAAAAAAAAAAATACCGCCCTAGGCAAATACCTTGTTTGCCTTGTGGTGAATATGCCCCTGGCAGAGGGGGGTTGTTAATCAGTTTAATTTTCTTTGGTGTTAATGAAGTTAACAACAGGTGCACTAGATGGGCAACAATGAGACGATCCCCAAAACAGGAATGGTTTTACAGGTGGAGGTCACTGACATTTTTTCCCTACTCATCTTCTCTGACTGTTTTTCACTAGTTTTGCATTTGTCTCGGGTCAGTGTCACTCCTGGTAGTATGAGGCCATACCTGGACCCTACAGAGGTCGCACAGGCAGTCCAACTTCTCCAGGATGGCACATCAATACGT